AATTTACCTATAGAAATTTAAGCTAAATAGAGAAAAAAGAATTGTCTAAGAGTCAAAGAGTACTGTTATTTACGTGGATTTATTTTCATGCCCCTAGGAAAAAAGACAATATGACACCGAAACATTCTTAGAAATGTTTCGAAAGATAGAATATTTTCTTTTGCTTCACTAGATCTTTCCTAGAATTGTAAAAAATTCAGTCAGAATTGTATTAAAAACCAAATAGTTTGGTTATTGTTTTCAAATTAAATAATTGTTAAATGAAGTCGAACAATTTAATTAAAATTACATACAGAAAAAGAAAAGATATATTAAAATAAGTGCTACGTTAAACTAAATCATTCAAAATGAAAAAAAAGCAGTTCTAAGTTTTCGTAGTATTTATCTTTATTTGAATTCTCTCGAGGAGAAAAGAAATGGATTAGATATAAATATTTTAAAATTATAAAAATATTCATAAAGTAGCCAAGAAATAATTCTTGAAAGGGGAAGTATATCACTTATAAATAGAACGTGCCCGGCATCATGATCGTGGCGTGGGATTGAATGCCACTCTGATGGATCCGAACTGATTTGGAATATCAAGTCTCCCATGCCTTGAATATTAGACAAACAGAATATCGGATCTCGGATAGTAATGGACCCGTGGATGGTGAAGTAATCTTTCTTTTGGGTCGAGTGAAGCCTATCACATTTTTCCAGTAACTGAAATTCTACGTGTTTGTCCCTTGCAAATAAATAATCTTTTCCCTTATTTTAAAATTAGAATAGTTATTAAAAACAAATATAAGTTTAAATCTAATTAATGCTTATTATAAATAACTGTTACGTTACAAAATATTCTTAATCCATTTTTACTTTTACTTATCTCAATGTCCGCTCAATACACAATACCACTTTTACAGGAAGTGAAATCTATCTCATCTCTAAATAAATGCCGTCGAATTCAAAATAATTTTTTTATCCACAAAAGAAGAAAAGAAATTAAATATTTTTATTTCAAAAATATTAATTTTCGTTGGGTTTGTTATATTCAAAATGATCATTTCTGTTGAAAATTTAATTTAATTCTAGTCAGTGTAGAATGCATTAGAAATAATTGTATTCAAATTAGTTTATCCTAATATGTTTCATTTCAATATTCTCTACATGATAAAGATCAAAAATTCATCTCTTTCGCTAATGGAATGAGAAACGATACAATGATTCAATCTCGTTATTATCCTTTATCATCTCTCTATTTGTTACCCATAAAAAGGATTGAAATATTATCTATCTTTGCTATTACCCACGTATCAGGATGCTTATATGAAGAGTAGAAAATGAACTTCGATTTCAATACAAACAAGATGTCTTCTATTTGGCTCGTATCCACCTCTTAAATACTTTCCAGTGTTACTAAAACCGTATCGAGTTTAATTATTAGCATTTCTTAAACGAAATTTTTTTCTAAATTATTATTCTCCAAGCCCCATTTTTTAAATTTAATTTTCTTATTTTTCAAATTAAATATTCTAGAAAAATTAAGTGTAATGAAAATATATGAACGAATCGTACTTTGCGTAACTTCACACGGATTTTGACTGGCCTTAATTTGTTTCATTACCGCTTGACCTAACTCGTGATAGGGTCGGAAGCGTGGATGATAAATAGAAAAAATATCACTCGAACTATTTTAAATTCTACTCGAATATTATGAGCTTCCTGACGAGGTTCGAATCCGGCTCTCCTACAACAATAGCCACGTATCGTGATCTGTTATTAATTAAAAAACATAATTGCTATAATAACTACTATTCTGATTATGAAATTAATTTATGATTTTATCTGATAATTTATTTTTTTATACGTTACATATTATTATTGTAATAATATTTTATCATTATTTTTTTCAAATTGCAAATTCATTAAGCTATATTAATTTTATATCAAAACCCTGCGGTGAATCTGTTTTTTCAAAAACATATTTTTATTAAAAACAAACGAAAAGTCTCATCTCAATTTCATATTCTTAGGCCAACTCTGAGGTTGAGACTTTTCTCGCCCTCAGAGTTGGCCTAAGAACAGAACCCGCGATTTAACTTAGTCGTGGATTGCATTCCTATTTTGTGGAATGGGTTTGTAATATACTTATAAATATTTCTTTAGCTTAAATATAATTTCTCCTACATTTTTGATATAGGGTTCACCAGTGATTGAGTGGACAAAACCGCCAAACACTGATGGCGGGTTGGCTCCTGACCAACCATTTTAAGTTTTCTGGGTTTTCCTCGCGTATCTAAAACCTAAATAAGAGCTACTTTCCCATAGAAAGTCCTCTCGGGAGGCATCCCTCCTCGGCAGATGGCTCATGTGTTGCGCTCCAATCCAACCCACCAATCCAATTCAATTTTGATATAGTAACAAAAATGTTCAAAACAAATTATATATAATTACATTAGATATAGTTTTATATGTAATTTTTCCAATTATAAATTAACAAGCTTTTTCTATAACAATTTGTAAGAAAAATGAAATAGTAATCGTTTTATTAATTTAATTTATTTTCTCTTATCAAGTTTCGTTTTTCAGGTAATTTGATATTATTATGTCTCGTCTATTTTGTAAAATTATTTATATAACATTCCAGTAAAAATATAGAAGATGCAATAGACAAAAAAGAAAAAGAGAGAAAAAAAAAAGATTTCAGAAAATTCCATTTTAACAATACAGCAGCGACTAGACTAGTTTTTGTTTGTTGATTTTCATTCAGTCTGCTAAACAGAGATACGAGAAGACAGAAGATTCTTGGAAAGAATTGTATTCAGACAATAGGCTAATAACAATTAAGACATAAAAGTTAAAAAAAAAGTAATTTTAAAAATTTTCAATATATAAGGCTTATATATTTTTCATTTTATTTAGAATAAGAAATTTATTTTTAACTCAAACAATAATAAATTTTAAAGAGAAATTTCAATAAACATCATTTGAATGTTGAATTATATAAGGAATATAACTTATATATATATATATTCTCTCTATAGGAATTATTTATTAACCTACGTTTTAATAAATTTCTGTTTACACATTTTATATATTTTTGGAATAAAGCCAAAGGAAACAAAATAAAAATTGCAGGCAAGGGTATTATTTCTGTTATTTTACAATATTTTATTTTAATGACTATGATTTTTTATTACGTCCTTTTTGTTCCTTTTTTGGGAAACAAAGGAATCAAATTCGATAAACAAATGGAAAACTTTTTTTAGTTTTTCTTTCAATAAAATTCAACAAAGCGNCAATCAGATTTCTTTCTTTTCCCCAAAAACAAATTTCTCGGAGTGATGAATCGATGCGAGCAACACAACGTTAACGTAATTTTTCTTTAACTTATCTCCATAATTTCTTTTTTATATATTGACTCTTTCTTTCCGAGTGATTTAAACTTATTTAAAAGATAAAAAAATAAGGCGACGAAACATAATTTATTTGGCTTTGTACTTTGTTTAACCAACCAGACAGATCGAAATTATATAAACATAGTACCGGGTCGTCGTAAAATGGAATATTTTGCCGAAATTATAGTTTATTTAAACTTCTATATATTTCCAGCATAATTCTGTCAAGAGTTGTGTTCAGGAATCCATTGCTCTCATAACCGAGGATACCTAACCTAATTATGGTGAGTGGCGAGATTATGAAAGTCTGAAGCACTCAACCCAATGATTTATTCTGCATACTATAGTGAAGACAAGAATATATGATTTGGAGATAAATGAAGTTGGCTTACAGTGCCATGTACATTGATAATTGACTCGACAAACCGGAGAATTAGGCGCTTTCTAAAGAAAACCTCGAAATAATTAAAATGCAAAATATAGCAATTTAAAAAAAATATTAATAATTTATTCTCGAGTATGAGTTTTCAAGATATGAAAAAGACGTTTTATTTTTTAAATTTCCTGCGAAAATTTCCAGAATATTGTTTATTTTTTTTCTAGAAAAGATAATATTGAAAGAGATACTTTGCATTCGGTATAGTTTCCATTGAATATATTGATATGCAAAAATAAAAGCACTTGAATGTCCTTTTAGACTAAAATGAAATCTTGAAAAACAAATTCAAAACTTGACTCTTCTGAATTATAAATTATATTTCTTTTCAACGATATTTCAAAAAAAAAAAAAATGAATATTTTCAACTTTAAAACTTTTTCATAAATGAATTTATGATAAGAATTTGGACGAAATTTTTCAACTTAGTAATATTAATTATTATAACAATTGTCATTTTAATTAGTCTAGCATAAATTTTCAATCCTGACAACATAATTGCATCCATGAGTCAGTTTATTAAAAGCTGAATACCAAAGATAAATTATGAATTTAGTTTATCTAGAAATAAAAAAATACGACAAGTTTACTCGGTTAATTGCTGTGGTGTCATTTAATGAGAAGATAGCTGTCTTGAACTTTATTATTGTTGACAAGTTAACCAGTTTTAGTACTGAGAAGTCTACCGAGCTGTTAGGGTCATCGGCATTCCAAAATGATTTATATGTTAACCAAAGGTTGAATGTTGAAGTCAATAACAAAAAATCCCATCTCCTGTCTTTTTAAAAGAAAATGAATATAATAAGTAAACTTAAGTCTTAAACGAAACACTTAATTAAATGAGTTCCGCTTCGTTTGATCGAGTGAAAAAATTTGAGATAAATATTTGATCCGTTCTCTACTAAACGAATAACGTCGGTTCGTACGAGCACAGAAAAGCTTCTTATGAACTTGTATTCTACTTCACTCGGTTACTTTATTAGCATCGAATTTTTACTTGGAAAAATATTCTTCTTTTAAATTAAAAATATATAATTGAAGTAACACGAACTTTTCCAGCATATTTAATCTTTTAATTCTTCAAAATAAATATAAAAATTAATAGTTAAGAGTGTGTTTATCTCGCTCTGTAATTGTTTAGATTCGGAAGCGTAAAACCTAATAATAAAATAATCTTAAATTTTAAATCGCATTAAAGTAGTTAAAACAATTTTTAAAAAGTCTGTAAATACTTAAGATAAATTTAAAATAAATGAATGACCGAATGAATAATTCCTTTCAATTGGCGTTAATATTTTCGAAGGATGGAGTGAAATAAAAGAGTGGTGACCCAGACCAGTCACATTAGACAGCCTGTTTATTGAACTAATTCGGTGAAGGAAGCAATCATCTACTCTGTACTATACGCAGCGTAAGAGTCGTTAGTTCCTAACTATTGCTGGTCTGGGAGTTGTTGGACACTCACTATCCAGTTGTTAACGTTGTCCTCGTAGAACGATGACATGTCTTTGGATGCCAATACCCACTATATACAGTTAATTTGTCAAGATAATCTAAGTTCTAACTCTCTAATCTGGCATCTGACGTCACGGGACCTTATCGACTGTAACTCCTCTCGTTGACCTTTATTCTTTGGTAAGACGCTCGTTTAATCCTTATTATTTTTAATTGTTATTACCATCTTTATCGTAATTGGAAGCATTTTGTTTTAATTTAAAGAACTGTAAATTAATTCAATTTATTTTAAAATATTTGCGACGTTTTTTAATGACAATCGATTTAAAATTCTATATTTATTTTTCGTGTCGTCGATAGATTTAAAGTAGAAAATGATCTTTTATATCTTCTTAAATAAATAAATCTTCTCATTTATGTTTAGTTTAAAGTTTTTTTTTTCAATGTATATCCTAATTATCGAGTATTAAGAGCGTAGAATTCTCGCGAGAGCACGATAGGAATTTCCTGGAGAAGATTGAGGCAGAGAACAAACTTTAGCTTTTCTGGGCAGCGCGAATCGAGATGAGAAGTTATCGATATGAGACTGTTCCTTTTGCCCCAATAGACAAACAGGCAGAAAAGAAGAGGGCAGGCAATCAGACACGTAGTCGCAAAGGGACTGAGGTCAATCCGAACGAAGAACGCTTTGGTAATGTGATATGTTCATCTGTCCTCTGGTCTTGTCCAGTGGGGGACTTGTCTTTCCGTTGTGCAATGCTTTTCCCCGTCTCTCTTTAATCTTTGGAAGTCGCCGGGGAAATACGATTCTAGAAGAGAAACGCCATCCAGAGTAGCACAATCCCTACTTTTCTAACTCTCAGTCAACACAAACGTCTCTTACGATTTTTGCTCGAAAATTTGCGTTTCGGATTTTCGAGTATCAAATAATTTGAATGAAATAGCATTGAAAAAATGAAATCTATCAAGACGGTTTTTAAAGAGAAATATGCGACTTGATTTATTTTTTCCTCCCTCGGTGATTTCCTTGACAGTTTTGGATCTTCCGGAGAATTTAAAATCGCAGTTTTTAAAATTCTCACTTAAACGGATCGATGGATCCCGAGCTAAGCAACTTTTTTCCCATATTATGCAAACCGAAAAACAATAATTTAACGCTATCGTATTTACATAATTACCAATAATTTTGAAAGTTGATTTTTTGTAAATCTCCAGAAAGTCGTTAAATTATTAACCAGTCATGCGATAGCCCACCACACTACAACTAAATTCGACTATTTTCTTCCATATTATTCTCCGAGGAATTCAATCCGCTTCTACTTCTGTATCAATTATGATATCAAATCGCAATTGTATAATTTTCCTATTAGACTATCGCCGAGCCGAGTAGATATCGAGTAGTCTTTAGATAGAACATATCAATTTGCATGATCATTCGAACGGAAAAAAATAAATTAAATTAATGCAAATTTTTTGCCCCGGATCTTACGTATTAACTTGACTTTTGCATATTCAGTCGGTAGCGGGATGACGGCGAGAAACTCTCTAAAGAATATTTCTATAAAGCGTACGCGAGTTGATGCTGTTCTTGCGCAGTAAATTTCTTGCTGCGCTGCTGCATCTATTGGAGGTAATTCATTTGCAATCCAATTGGTTCCGGAAAAATCCGATGGCTTGGTGATTATCGTGCTCCTCCTTTCAATCCTGGTTGAATATTAATACCCAAAGAAGCAAACAGATTGAATACATTCTGACATTACAGTAAAGACTTGTCGCATTTTAAGTAGAAGGGAAAGCAAATTTTAATCGACGTAAGAATTACATCTTATCGTACGACCTGCATAGTTAAATACGCCTTATTGTCGTTGTTACATCTTCCGAATATCTTCATATTTATAGAACTCTCTTATAAATATTAAAATGAAATTTCCCGATCGCGCGTATAAATTTTTTATGAATTTTTTGAGAGCTTCATTCATCACCCGGACACCATCTTTTATTTACATTCTCCATCAATTAATTTATAGAATTAAGCAAAGAAAATGTTCTGGGACCAAGGTAGCTTTAATTAGATCAAATAATAACTAATTTGAATTTTTAACTCTTTTAAACATTTACGAGATTATTTTGGGGGGAGTTAACCGGGTATTCTGAATGTCGAAAGAATCATCGGATTACTCTTGCTGGATCCACTGGCTAGTTAGGTATTACGAGCGGGCCATAAACAACAATTTACGTCACGCATTGTAATGAGATTTGTCCTTTCTAGATGGCAATACTCACTTTGATGCCGATAAAGAGGTTTCGAATTAGAAGAATGGAAAAATCCTCCAAAATAACATTACAATTCTCTACAACTAGCAAATTATAGTAAGGCTTATTTATTTCGTCGTTCGATTATCTCTCCGTTTTTCTCTATTAGATAATTATATTATTAATGAGTAATGCGTTACTGGTAATGACATAACATTACTATTCCTTCGACTGTTCAGAGAAAACACTCGCCTTTAAAAGTTGCGAAAATGTTAAAATAAATTCCGTACAGAGTTTCGAATACGAAAATAGTAGCGAATTAATTATATTTACGATTTATTATTTAGTTTTAACTTACTTCCACTTGCATAAGAAATAATACTTCTTTAAAGAAATATATTTGGTTTAAAATTGAGAAGACCTTGGAAAACTCCTTGTTATCTCGCTATCCTTAACGAGCAATGAATTGATAAATTTGTTTTAATAAGCGCCTTTGTTATATTTTTAGCAGTGGCACTTTTGAAAAGAAAATTAAAAGTTTTTTTTCCTTTTGGGGAATTTAAGTACAGAGAAAAAGTTCTAGAAAAATTATTAACGCAATGCATTTTTGAACCTTTTCTATCATCCATCCATTTTAAAGGATCTGAAACTACTCGACCGATTTTACTAAGCTAAAAACTGTTGTCGATTATCTCAACAATACTTTCCGTTGGAATCTTTTTCGAGAAAATTTTTGTGGTAGATCTGAAAAATATGCATTTACGAAATATATGCATTAAACTTTATACCAGTGCTGAAAGTAGTTTATGCTATTGTAATATTTTTTAAAAGTATTTTTAATGGAAAATTTTTTTTAAAGTTTTGAGAAAAGTTTAAAATATTCAAGAAATTGATCGAGAAAATGATTTTCTATCCTGATCCTTTTCTGAATATTCAAGATGTAATGATCTTTCTAGTATTTATTTAAAGTTCCTTTATATTTTTTGGTTGTGATCTAAATATATTTCAAATCATAATATATTCTTAGTTGAATTAAGTCTTAACCATGAATTTTGGAGTTTTGATATATTTTTATAAACAGTTTTTTCCCATTACTCTAGTTTAAAATGTAAAAATTATATGAAAAAAAAGAGACGAATCAGTAGATAAAATAAGTTGAATTGAAATAAATTAAGATAATTCTATAGAAGTTTAAAAAGTTAAAGTAGAAAGTTGCAAATTGAAATATTAAATTCTTCGTAAGGATCGAAGGAGATAATAGGAAATGCAATTACTAATTGAAAATATATTCAGTTTTTTATTAATGACTGCAAAAATACTTAAGAGTTGATAAAAATTGCCAAGGAACTAGACTTTATATGTCACGTATTCTACAAAATTTCGAGTGTTAACATCGTGAACAGTACTTATAATGTACAGCAGTTCGTTATATTTGTTTTATTAACCAATAGTCATTCACAGAAAATGTCGTTGTGTGGTTGAGTTTCACAAGATTCTGTCGTTTATGCCCGAAGCTCTGTTACTTTGGATAAATGACAAAACCGTGACCTAAGATAAGTATGTGGGAATTAAATTTATGAAATTTACCTATAGAANTATATTAAGAGAAGATTGAAATGATATAATTACTTCATATTTTAAATATGTAAATGTTTCAATAAATTTTTCAGAGGTAATAAATATCCTTAAATACAAAGAATGGCAACTTAATTTAAGATTAAATATAGTTATCAATATAATTTTATCTAGTCCATATTTGACCAAAATAAAAAAAGATATTGAAACATGTTTGAATCTTTTAATTTTGGATTAATAATAAAAATATATTTTGAAAGCTAATATAGATATCTTCTGTATAACACGGTAGTTAGGTTCTGAAAAAATGCCGTTTTATGCAAATCGTTGCTATACAAAGCAAAGGACTAGTACAAAACATAGGATTAGGTTCCCAAAGATTTTAGAATATTTGGTTTTAAAATAACATTTTTTAACTTTAAAATAGTTATGATGATATTAAAATAAAATTTTTAACATTTTAATTCATTGTTTTACAAACTGAATTATTCTCAAATTTTAAATTATTATAAGATCCAATTTTAAAATTTTACCAACAAACATATTATATACAGTAGACACCCATATAACACGGTAGATATGTTCCGTGTTTTATGAAATTCATGTTGTACGAGTCCTTAAATACATGAGCCAATCACAGTCTGGCACATATGCAGTTTAGGGACTACGGCTGTTTGAAAGGTTTTCTTCCATAAAATTAATCGATTCTAGACTAATTTGACTCAACATTTCCAAAACATGTATAATTTTTTGGGAATAATCCATATAAACTATGCTATAAACAAAAAATTGTAGGATTACTTACTGAGTGTGCACCATTTGACGATGCCATTGCTTAAGCTTGTTTTCATTGCGGAGTGGCACATCGAATGGCGGGCATATGTTTCCTGATAAATTATTTTTTTGCGAAAAATTTGCTGAACTTTGGAGACATCATTAATATAAATATAATTTTTATGGCTGTTAAATAATAAATGGTTTAGTAGGTCCGCTTCTTGTTTAAACTCAACGGTTTGTGCAATATCCGCTATTGGTCTAGATTTGACCAATCCTGTTACAACATGATGTTTTACTGTATCATATGAGTCTCTTTTAGCATGTTTATACAAATATGATTGCAATTTTTTTGCCATTATATACAAATCCATATTATATGAACCTGTTTTATAGGGAGGTCTACTGTACTAAATTTTTAGCTTAATACAACTTAATTGTGTGATATAAATCTAAGCCCTTTCTAAAATAGATTTTATACATACAGTCAATATACTGATTCTATTCTGATTCGTTTTGTCTTCTTTTAGCTCTAGGTTTATTTCATCTGACACTATTTTCTAGCTGTTATTGAACTC